CTGTGTACAATCTCAATCTCTTCACCATCCATCCTGATGCTGCCAATTGGTCCAGTGGTGAGAATCTTTGTCTTCTTGACATTGAGCCTCAATCCATATTTGTAGGCTGCAGTCCTTGACCCTCTGCAGCAGGTGCTTCAAGTCCTCTTCATTTTCAGCAAGCAGGGCTGTGTCATCTGCATAACGCAGCTTGCTGATAAATCATCCACCAATCTTGACCTCACATTTCTCCTCATAGAGCCCAGCCTCCTGGATAATCTTCTAAATAGATAAATTTAAACGACTCGATGGCACATAACAACAACAACAACAACAACAACATTATTTACCTTATGCTGATCTCAGAGAGAGGGATACAAACTAAGAATTATGGAAACATCCAAGGTCTGCCTTGATGCTACAAGGGGAATTCTTGCTTGTATCTATGCCTCTCCTCATCTCCTGATGCAGAAATTTGGTGAAATATTAAGTCTGATATTCAGCTTCCTACACAGAATTTCAAATTTTTCCATGGATGATATATGAAGCCTTGAAACTTAGAAGGTCACTGAGTTGGAATCAACTTGACATAAGTGATTAGATTAAAACCCTAAACCCTTATTAAAATAAAATAAAAATACATGTCATAGATGCACTGCAGACTGTCTATATATACTTTTTAAGTAAAGCACCAAGTATGTATCTGTAACCACGATCACATATATTAAAATAAAATTTTAAAAAACTATACAGGATCAAACTGGCATGGCAACTTGAAAGATCAGCTAGAGTCTAGAAATGGTGATAGCAACCAGGTTTATGTTAAAAAGGGAGAAGAATTGAGAAAAGGAGAGCAAGAATGGCTGCACACCAAGAATGGTACCACGTCACTATCACAGGAACTGCTGACCTGGTGTTTTGCTCAAGACAGTCAATCTTAAATGCAAAAAACTCTTTCTACAACTTATATCAAAATTTGGGCCAAGATTTCCTAAAACTTACCCTGCTATATAAATCTAAGTAATATTTGTCAAATATTACCCCCAAAATCAAGCCATCTATTCATTGGAAAGCAATACAACAGAAAAATTCAGACACAATTGAAGCTGTTATAGGAATTTAGAACTTGAAAAAGCTTAAGGTTGCTATACTTTAAGGAATTTCAAAATTTTGCAAAGATCTAGCCATATCACATCTTCCTGAACTTCAATTTTGCAAGATATTCAAACATGTGAAAATACTTACATGGACAAGTTAGGAGATGGAACCCCCCTATCATCAGCTAGGTTCCCAAGGTGGCTCAGCGTTGAAATCGAACTGCTCTCTATACAGCACTTCTCCTAGGCCCTCTGGGTAGTTGTATACTTGGTCAGAAAGTACGCCCTAAAGAATAAGATGGAAGAGTTAATACTAAAAAAGTTAAGCTGTGTTTCAAGTAGATTAGTTTAAATTTAACTGCAAGAGTAAGATGAAATCTTATTTTAATACGTATTCACTGTTGCCGCGTACTGTAAAATCAGAACTGACCCACAGGTGACCTTCCAGCAGGCTTTCAAAAGCAATAAATCGCTGGAGACTGGGAATCTTTCACCAGAGGAAGCTGGTGGATTCAAAGGACCTATCTCATATTTTAATAGTATCACCATACAAAAGACCTATCTCATATTTTAATAGTATCACCACACAAAATGTTTTCAAATAATTTACCAGAGGCCAAGCACTTTTTTCATGGAGTAAACATTTCCAAGTTGCTTTACTACAAAATCCACAGAATTTGACCATCATAACCACCTTATTCTTTTACTTATTCATGAGAAGTTTGTCTTCAATGAAATCCCCCCCTTTTATTAGTCCCCTGAAACTCAAATTTGTAACTGGCCTAAAATATAAAAACTTTAAAGGATCATCACTACCCTGATAAGCAAATGTTCTACTTAGAATACCTCCTTTCCTCTGAATACCCAAGTTCTTAAAGTGTGAAGCTTCTAGTATCAGGAAGGTAAGTAAAATTTTATGATTTAGCTAATACATTACATGCCTGAAATGATGCTTTGAAAACAATCTTATAAAGTTGGGCTTGTAAGCTAAGTAGCTTATTTCCTAATTATAACCTACCTATACTCTATTATCACTAAGAACAAATGCATGCACAAGGGGCTGGCTGAGTACAAAATGCTGCTTAGTCTTTAGAAATGGTCTCCCTCGCTACAGGACTGGATGCACAAACCATTTCGAAACCAAAACCCTATGTACCCCATACTTCCTCTCTGTAAGTCAGTGGTTACTATTTTAAAACAATAAAACCTGGTACTATTTGCTAGGAAAGTAGTGAGAAAGCCAGAAAAAAGGAGGGGGAAAAAAGAAATTACACATATGAGGGAGTTCCAAAGCATTGTAGGTAGGCATGTACCTGGTAAGAGGCGCTAGGATAAAGGAAAATAATTAGAAATAATGAGGGAAGAACCCATTCCAATATAAATGGTTATCTTACATTAGATCTCAAATAATGTACCACAATAAGAGTTCCAATCATTCCATACCATGCTGTTGACTTGGTGATGGGTGATCTCCTTCCATGAGATTTACAGTCTCTGAAACCCTGCAGTAAGGTGAGCTACCAGTGGGTTGCAAAGTTCATTCTCAATTATCCTATCCCAGGCTGATAATCATCATAGTTGAGAGTTATTTACCACTTATATTTAGTCATTCTGTTGCTTAACACAAGCAATGAAATGTGTGATGTGAAATGTTATGGCCCTTAAGTTTAAAAATGTTGAGTGAGACCTCTGGAGAAATTATTTTTTTCAGAAAAGGATGCACACATTAGCTAGACAGCTCTGGTAGCTGTCGTAAGGAGATGCGCTCCTAAGCCACAGTTCAAGCCTCTCTGGCTGTGACAATCCATGAGTAGCTCCACAGAAGATGAGCCATCTCCCATTTGATTTACAGCTTCAAAAACCTCCTGGACGGTCAGCTACAAGTTAGTTCTGACTGTGCACATCAACTGAAGTGGAGATTTATTTGAAGAAAATTCTCTCGAAACACACCTCAGGACTAGTGCTGGTGGCAGGGATCCAAACACAAAACTAATAATCTCAGGAAGCTCTGGTGACCGGTTCAAATCCACCAGATGGAGGTTCAAATCCACTGGAGATGGAGGGGGCATCTCCTATGCCAGCTGGATCTGATTCGATGGTACACCAAAAAAAAACAAAAACAAAAACAAAAAAAACCCAAAAAGCCAATCACTAGCCACAACACCTAATACTCTTATCGCTTGTCACTTTCAAAACCTCAGACATGCACACCTGATGTTATGGCAATGTCTCTGTGGCATTTTGGAAACAGTGGAAACATGACAATTAATTAAATGCAATGGGGTATTTTTGATTGGCTCCTGGAACAAAGAGAACATAAGCAAAAAAAACTGGTGAAATGAAACATCTCTCTGTAGTTGGTTCAGTAAGACTAGTTTCTTAGTTGTGGCAAAGGTACCATAGTTATTATGTTAATAGGAAAAGGAGGAACTCTTATCTTTCCAATTTTTTTTAAAAAATCTAAAGTAACTCCAAAATATTTTTTAAAAAATGAATAAATGGGGAACTCTGGTGGCCTAGCAGGTAAGGAGTTACGCTGCCAACCCAAAGGCTGGTTCCAAGCCACCAGCTGGCTCCTCGGATGGGTATTCTCCCACAAGATTTAGACATTTTTTTCCCCTTTAGCTTTCTGTTTTTATAGTCATATAACGGAGTCCTGCTCAGCAATGACCACGAGGCTGCTGAGAACAGCGAAGCTGGCGCAGGACACGGCGGCGTTTCTGCACCAGCCTCTTGGCTGAGGACACGGACTGCGTTAAGGGTCACCCCCGTGAACCGTCGGCAGTCTCGGTGGCATTGGGTGAGCCAGCCCGGCCTCCCGGTCTCCTTTTCTCTGCCCCGAGAATCCTGGCACCGAGGCGAAGGCGAAGCCATGGTGACTAATCCGCAGGCTGCGGGAGGTGACTAGGGTGAGTGAAGGCGACTCGGCCCAATCAGCAGCGCCGCAAGGGGCGGAGCAGCGGCCCCGAGGCTTCCAGAACGGGGCCGAGGGCCTGGTGCGGGCGACCTGACATCGGAGCTTCCCCGCCGCCGAGCCCCGGGGCCGCCGAGCCCGGGCGGCATCGCCTTCCCTCCAGCCGGCACCCCCCGAGAACCCGCGCTCCCCCGGCAGCTGTCACCGGAGGCCGGCCGGGGCCCGCCCCGCTCCATTCATAACCCAGGGCCCCGGCCGTTCCCAGCCGGCAGCGCAGCCCGCCAGCTGGGGCTCCCGATGGTGGCCGAGGCGGCGGGGCCGCTCGGGGGACCAGGGCTGCAGGACCCCGGCTTCGCAGGACCCCCGAGCCAGACCCCCTCCCCGGAAAGAGCAATGCACCACGGGAGAGGGGTGGGGACCACACGCCGCCGGGAGGCGATCGCGATACCCCGGCGGCGAGACCCCCGCGCGCGCCCAACGCGCACACGCCCCCTCGCCCCAACCGCGGCTCGGGCTCCGGCTCCATCGAGTCCCGGGGCCTCCAGAGGAGCCCCCGAGGGGCGGCCTGCGCCTCCGCTCCGCCGTCTCGCTGCCACCGCCGCCGGCGGCACCGACACCCGCCACACAGCCCGCCGGCCGCCATGTTAGAGGCTGCCGGCCGCGGGGCACTGCGGGGATGCCCGGCCGGCGGCGTGGCTCGGCCGAGGAGGAGTCCGGCCGCCGCCGAGCTCGGCCCTGCGTCCCAGCCCCACGGCTCTCGGGTGGGTACTCACGTGAGATAACGGCCCAAAGAGTCGGGTAAAGCGTCTTCTCTTTTTCGGCGGAATTTTTAAAGAGGGATGTGGTTACCTTGAGCAGAAATACCCAAGGCGGCCTGGGCCATAGGCTGCGGGAACGACGTGGGGGGAAACGCGCTGCACCGACACCAGCTGTGCAGCAGTGGCGGCGGCGGCCGGAGGAGAGAAATACAATAGCGCAGGCAGGATAAAAAAAGAAGAGTACTGGGTGATGGGGGTAATTCCGCCTCGTCACACCGCAGAGCGAGAAAGAATAAGAAACCGAGAAGCCTACGACACGGGAGGAAGAACAGAAAGACGTTGAAAAGGAGTGAAGAGCCAGCGAGTGTGGGAAAGCGGCGCCGGAGACGCCAGTATTTATAGCGAGGGGCGTGGTTACGTGACGTCACAGGCAGCCGTACAGCCGCGCGAGCGGGGCGGGGCCGGGTGGGCGCGAGCTGAGCAGGGAGGGACGGAAGAGGAAGGGGAACGGCGCGCAGGCCACCTGGAGGGAGGGGGCTTTGTGACCCGGCCGAGCTGGGGTTGACCGTCTGGCCGCTCCCCGCCCTCCCATCGCAGCAGCTCCCGGGCGGGCGGAGGGCTCGCCGCGAGGACGAGGGCGGGCGAAGGCACAGGGAAGGCGGCTGAGCAGGACCTGGGCCTCGGCCCCTCCCCTCCGGCGCCTGCGCTCATGTCCGCGGTGCGCTCGGCGCATTGTGAGCTGGGACCGGCTGCAGCCGGTCGCCGCCGTGTTCAGGGGCTGCATTGCCCAGTCGGAGCCTCTTGCGCCGCGGGGAGTGGGCATAGGGGAGGCTTGCAGGGTCGCCGCCGCCGCCGCCGCAGCTTTCTCTCTCGAAAGCTTCTTTCTTTGTCCCGAGGCGACGCCTTGGCGACTGCCATAAGGGGGTGAGGCGCTCCATTGTAGAAGTGGAGTTTCTGATGGCCCGGGATTCGGCAGTTACAGAGCCGCGTGGACGAGCTCCCCATGCCCGCACGTTGCAATAGGGTGGTGGTGTGTGCCTTCCAGTTGGAACAGACCCTGAGGCAGTTAGTCGCAAGGAAAGAGATTACCCATCGGTCTCTGGAGAGCAGCTGGTGGATTCGAACCTCTTGCGTTGAGGATTGCAGCGCAGCTTCTTAGCACTAGGCCACCAGAGCTTTTCTCCAGAGTTGAAAATATAGTATAGAAAGGATGTTTTAAATGTGTAGCTTTCCTGTCTTCTTTTGAAAAGGGCTCATGCGTCAGATCCAATCATTAACGGAGGGCAAGTGTAGGAAGGGAAATTACTGATTTTAGAAGCCACATAATGTGTAATCTCCCTCCCCAACCCAGACTAGATTTCATGGATATTTTAATTTTGCCAACTAGTTGCGATTAAAAAAAAAAACAACAAAAAACCAACGAGTCCTAGATTACCTACATTGTTTTGTTATCTTGTACAGATACCTTGAAACCTTGTCTAGTTGCGCCATGCTACTCCCATTTGTACAACAGTGTGTAGTGACCCTACTGCCCCCACTATAAGAGTAAAAAGGCCCTCCTTTTCTCCCCCTTTATTTCTTCCCCACCTTGCCTTTGTGAGCTGCACTGTGGTTGATCAATAAATCATCAAAATGGAAAGGAAGAGAGAGCTTCCCTGAGTGGAAAGGCAGACTCTTTCTTAGTGGGGCAATGTAGGCTTCGTTTGAGAGTATTCTCTTGGATGAAAGCATTTGTAGACAGCAGGAGCTGTGCCTTACTACATCCTGCCTTTCTCTTGATTCCTTCAACAGTCTGTGTAATTCAGACATATATAAGCTCAAACTTTTTACTAGAGCTACGGTGTAGAGAGGAATAACACTTGGATTCTTAACAATCTAGCAGGGGGAAATAAGTCAGCTAAACAACGTAGTGGAATTATTGACACACAAGCAGATGAAATGTTGCTGGAACCTGCTGGAAGGAGGAAGTGGTTGCACTAGGGAAAATAGTGCTGGGTAAAGGCTGTAGTTGGAGTTGGCCTGCTAGTAGGGACCCCTGCACAATAGAAGGAAACACCTGGTCTGGCTGGCTTGGGAGGTCTGGTCAGTTGGAGATCTGACAGGATCCACAGAGGTTTCACTGGCTGATTTTGGCAGTAGATCGCCAGGCCTTTCTTGCTAGTTCATCTTAGCCTGCAGGGTTTGCTGAAACTTGTTCAGCATCCTAGCAGCATGCGGCACCGCTGTGCTGACAGATGGTAACCGTGCATGCTGTTTTGTCAGGCATCATACCTGGTCACATGGAAAGCAGGATTCTGTTCCTGGCACCACTGCCCCAGGAAAAATGTCATTTTGATAGAATTGTACAAAATTAAGTCATTCTATCTTCAGCATTTCTGTCATCACGTCAGTATTTCTGACTGCCATTCCTTCTACTTTGTTTCCAACATTTGCATCCCAGTCACCAGTTGTTAGTAATGCATCTTGACTGCTTGTTTGGTTACTGTCAGACTGCAGAAGTTGGTCAAATTCCTCAGTTTACTCATCTTTTGGCTTTAGCTATTGGTGCATATAGGTACCAGCTCTATTAACAGATCTTCCTTGTACACATATGGGTAATAGCTTATTACAATATACTTCAAGATAAATCTTGCCTTTTTAACTCTGAATGCAACACCATTCTTCAACTTCTCATCCCCATCATAGTAGATCGGATTATTATCTGATTCAGAGTGGCTGATACCAATCCCTCTCAGCTTGCTAGTGCCTAGAATGTCTGTCTTGATAAGTTCCATTTCATTTTTTACAGCTTCAAATTCTCCTCCATTTAAAGTGAGGAGGCACAGAAACGGACATGCTCAGACACCCGAGTGTGCTTTCTGGCTCCAGCATAGGAGTTGTTAGGTGCTGCCGGGTCAGTATTAACTCACTGTGACCCTACTTAACAGCAAAGCAGAACACTGCCCTGTCTTGCATCATGCTCTCAATCATTGCTTCTGTGCTTGAACCCATTGTTGAAACACTGTCAGTCCATCTCCTTAACAGTCTTCCTCTTTTTTTGCTGACCCCCTACCAAGGATGTGTCTTTCAGAAACTGGCCCCTCCTATAACATGTCCAAAATCTTGCCGTCCTCGCTTCCAAGAATCATACGCTTTATATTTTCTCTAAGACAGATTTGTTTGTCCTTCCGGCAGTCTATGGCATGTTTGATAATCTTTGCCAATACTATTATTCAAATACATCAATTATTTTTCAGTCTGACTTACTCACTGTCCAGCTTTCAATGTGGGAGGTGTGGTTGCAGATAGACTGAAGAAGCTAGTTACAGTGGGACAAAAATTTCTGAAACCGCTTAAGCAAGGACATTATATAATCAAATATGTTTGGTTTTGTCCTTTTTCTGTTTGTTGTGATTTGAGTGAAAGTTTACAAAGTTTTCCACTCAACCACTGATAAACATTTTGTTTTATTCTGTTTTTTATTTTTTGTTATTATTAATTTTAATGAAAGTTTACAGAGACTTTGGATTTCCATTCATTCATTGTTGCACTTTTCTCCCTGCCTACCCTCCCCCCACCCAGTTCACTCTTCTCTTTGAAAAGTAAAAGAAAAATTCTTTCATTGTTATGCAGTCCCACCCCCCAAGTCCACTCCACTATGCAGCCTTTGTTCTGGACTCCTATCATGACAATAATACCTAATCAAATATCCCTTTTAAACAGTTCTCTCTCTCAACATTTTGTTTTATTACATTGGTTATCTACAGTGTTACTGCATACTCACTTCCTGTGATTCTCATTTCCATTTATCCTAACTCTTTCTGCCTTCTGAGCTTTATCCTTGGGCAAATGCTACCTCTTTAATAAGACTTTAAAGATAGTTTTTTAAAGGGTTACTCTGGCAGCAGTGGGTGAAACTGAGAAGAGAGTTTGTTGCCTGTGGTTAAGCACTCAGCTGCTGAGAAAAAGTTAATGATTTGAACCCACCAAGTGGCTTTTTGGGGAAAAGGAGATTGAAGCCAAGAGAATTCTTTGAGGCAGTTCCACTTCTGTCACATGGATCACTCTGAGTGTGTTAGGTGGCCCCTAACAACAGCAGAAAGTTTGGAAGAGAGAGATAGTGTCTTCTTACCCCTTGCTCCTGTAACAACAACAACAAAATACAATTAGGTATTCCTAAGAACAGAAAGTTCCTTTCTTAACAATCTGAAGGTTCAAAAGATACCACGCTTGGAAAAGTAGAGGGCCAGCAAAAGAGAGGAGATGGGTTGACTGCAGCAATGGACTTAAGCATGGCAGAGATTGGGACCTAACCCAGGAGAGGGCTTGATTTCAAGCTGTTGTTCATAGGGTTGCTATGAATCATTGCCAGTAGCACCTAACAGCAGGAGAAGGTGTCTGAGGACAGGACCTAGAGAAAGGCTGGAGAGACCTTTTAGAGATGCCAGCAGAGAAGACAGAGGAGCCAGTGAGAGAAGTGGAGGGAGAATCATAATAGGACAGTGTCAGAGCAGCCCAAGGAGAGTGTTCCAAGATGAAAAAGCAGGCAGGGCTGCAATATCCATCATGCAAGTCTGAAAAGGGATTTCTGTTTTGGCAAATGGCAAATCATTGGCAAACTTCAATCTTGCGTTGACAGGTTTAAATTTATATCCCAGAAGCTTTGGAAAAGTCATTGAAAGGTTTCCACTGTGAGTTTAATTTGCATTTTAGAAAAAGGAAGAATGTGGAGGTGGAAGGAGAAAGGACCAATTGTTTGGCAGAGAGAACACTTGAGAGGCTAGTGCAGTGATCAACAAGCATGGCCAGGGCCTGAGAAGTTATCTTTGCCCTATAAGTGATAAATCTCCATGGGAGTGCAAGGAACAGAGTGATGACCAGGGTCCAAGCGAGGACCAGCTGAGTGTGGTGACTGCCGACCACTTTTAGTGCATCATTCTATCATGAAAGAGCTCAGCAACTTTTGTTATTCAAAGTATCTACTCCTATGGTTCATATTTGCATTTTGAATTTCAAGAACAATGCTAGGGTTTTTAAAAAAAAAATGAATACAATAGAACCATGAAAACAACTGCATTGGAATAGACAGCACTGTATGTAATTTTAATAGAATGATAGCTAACTAATGAGAACAGCATATTTAATTGGATTTGGGGTTTGGGCTTGTTGCCAAGTCAGGTTACTCACAACACAGATAGAATGGGGAGTGCCAGAGAAAGTAGTATTGTTAGAGAGCCTGAAGACAGAATTAGATACCATTCTCACTTAGGTCATCTGGATGATTGATCCAAACCCATTTCCTTTTGTGCCAATAGATACAAAAGATTGGATGCATTAGATTATCATGCAAGTCATTCCT